AAAATTTCCCATCGGTGGACAATCGTCAGTTAATGTCAGCGGAAAACACCGTGGAAACTTTCGCCGACGAATCTGATTGGAAATTCCATTTCCGTTCGGCGAAAATTATTCTTCGAAACAATCCAGTCACTGGCCCGCCGGTGGGACATTCCCAACCGAAATTGACGCGACTGCGACGAAATATTTCGGGCAAATAAACTCCCGTGTACTTGGTACTACCGGCGTGTGTACACGGGCAACTCTGCGTGAGATTGCTGAAGATTAGTTTAGATCAGAGTCCTGCCAAGCGGATGTTCGTAGTTTCTGCGCTAACTGTCGGCCTAAATACATATCTCGCATCGCGTTGCGACAACATTTTGCCAGCGTCGCCATCTGATCCAACCAACGTGCAATCAGGAAGGAAAACATCGCGCGCGAAATATGTGTAATAAAATTCCTCGGTTGCGTTTCGAGGCAACTGAGACGCGAACGAGAACGTAAACGAGGATTCGTCGAATCGTTATTGAAAATTAGGAGATATGGCTCTTTGGTTCTCGTCGCGCGTGGAAAAGATTCAGGATCCTTCCGAGTCCATCCTCTTTTTACGTGGGAGAATGTACGAAGATCTATGGCGAGACCGGGGGATCGTCAGCTGCTTTGTATACGCGTTTGCATTATCGTACGTTATCGTTTGATTCTCGCTGATCGAGAAATACGGGACGTAACGCGGAGGAAATGTTCTACCTTCTTTTTTTTTTTTTTTTTTTTTTTTTTACGATGAGAGAACGTTCCAAGCATTTAGTCGCTTCGCGTTTAGGTCAAGAGTGCCTGCGAAGACGTGAATTTAAAAATGAAGCACGTATTATCCAACAAAGTTATTATTTGGATGAAGAGAATCTTTGGATCAAAATCACTACTGAAAAAAATATTACAAATCAACGAGAATGTTACAAATTTTAAATTGTGCAAACTAGATTTTTTAATGTCCTTTAAATAAAACGAAATCACGAGCTTAGAAGTGCCCGCAAGAATTGAATTTAAAAACGAAGCACGTATTGTTCAATAAAATTATTATTTGGATGAAGAGAATCTTTGGATCACTATTGAAAAAAATATTACAAATCAACGAGAATGTTACAAATTTTAAATCGCGCAAACTAGATTTCGTGTGAAATGAAAATGAATTCTATATTTCTAATAAAATAACAACGAATTAATAGAGTTGAAAGGATCACGAGACTCTTGAGTTCGGGATGGAAGTGTGACACGCGAGTTGTAGGATTGAAAGAGAGTGTTCACCGTTACACAGAGTTTTCGACGAGGGAAGAATCATTTGGTAAGAGCATATGAAACGTCTCGAATCTGTGTGGCCTGCAGCGTGTCCGGGAATTGTTAGGGAAGAATTTTGCTGACCAGTAAGAATTTGCTCGTCCCCTGTCAGTCGGCTACAATGTCGATCCGTTTTTAGACAGATTGATTACCGTGGGTGAAAAATGGACGCCGCGCCAAACGATACATCAAAAGAGGCAGCTCAGCGTAACCAGTCATCCTCGATAACAACTTCAATGTTTGCGGTGAACAGTGATCGTGTTAACAATCAAATTTTCTTAACAAACAAATTTAACGCTGCGAGTCGCGATTCTTCTAGCCTTCATTGGGCTTTGACATCCCTATTCCGTACCTCGACAAAGTTTGTTTCACTTTTTTAATTTTCTTAGGTTAGCTAAATAACGATACAAATTAATCCAATGAAACTCGGTAAGTTTGTCTTTTGTCTTTTTATTTTAACTCCTTCGTTTTCCAGAGGAACGGACAAAAGATATTCGTCGACCAGAAAAAAAAAAAAAAAAAGAAACGAGAGTAGAAATTATTTCAATTCTTCTCGATCGAAGGAAATTCCAAGGACTCTCGATTAATAATCGTTACATCATCCACCGAAGTTCCACGACATATTGTGACATACAAAGAGATTGAAATTACGATAATTAATACGAGTACAATATAACGAATATTCGGTGATTTTCAATTTCAATCAAATTTTCTTAACAAACAAATTTAACGCTGCGAGTCGCGATTCTTCTAGCCTTCATTGGGCTTTGACATCCCTATTCCGTACCTCGACAAAGTTTGTTTCACTTTTTTAATTTTCTTAGGTTAGCTAAATAACGATACAAATTAATCCAATGAAACTCGGTAAGTTTGTCTTTTGTCTTTTTATTTTAACTCCTTCGTTTTCCAGAGGAACGGACAAAAGATATTCGTCGACCAGAAAAAAAAAAAAAAAAAGAAACGAGAGTAGAAATTATTTCAATTCTTCTCGATCGAAGGAAATTCCAAGGACTCTCGATTAATAATCGTTACATCATCCACCGAAGTTCCACGACATATTGTGACATACAAAGAGATTGAAATTACGATAATTAATACGAGTACAATATAACGAATATTCGGTGATTCGAGCAATCTGCACATGGTTTGACCTAATCAAAAAAAAAAAAAAAATCGACTTAATTGCGAACGAAGATACGAGAAACTGCCTGTTTCTGAAATCACGGCAAGAGGGGGGAGAGGCAATCGAGGCACACAAAGAAAAATACGAAAATTCCTTTCTGTCGCGTGTATATATATATATATATATATATCCTTGTAACTACGGCAAGCAAATGTAATTTGCAGTGCTTTGAAATTCCGCGCACAGAAGAAGCTGATACGTACCAGGGCGGCGCGGCGCCTCGACGAATACCCACCCGCCTCGATGATGCAGTAAAAGTGCATCGCACGTACAACACCGCCTCTATTTCTCTCGCTTCATTTTCCAACCGGCCGAATTAGAGGGCCCTCCTTCCGTTTCCTCGCGTCTTTTCCACCCCCGCCGGCACATGTATACGTGTAGGTACACGCCTCGATCGAATGCCCCTTTCAATCCGTGAAATCCACGTTTTAATCGCGGTCTGGCCAATCGAGTTTCTCGTTCCGACGTCTCGCGATATTGCCCACCGAAGAAGTTGCTCTTCCTCCGCGAATGATCCTCGTTCAGGGTGAAAGAGCACCCTCGTGGTAGAATGATCCTCATTCAGGGTGATTCGGAGAATTCGAATCAACGCCACACACGTCGGTCTCCTTCGTTTCCTCGACTAATTCGAGGTTTCATCCGCCGTTCAATCGCCTTTGAGGGGGGACGAAAGTCAGCGTTTCATTCGTTATTTAGCTCTTTGGCTGATCAGCTCTCGTTGATGGTCGATATCCGACGTCGATTAACGAGTTTGATTCTCGAGAGCTGTGAATACGCTCGTGCTGCTTCTTCCTTCTGGATTTGACGATTTTTGGAAATTCGAACGTCGTTCCTGGTCGACTCGCTCGACGTTTCATTCTGGGAGTTGTAAACTCGATGTTCCTTCCATTTAGATTCGATAATTTTCGACAATTCAAACGTCGATCGTATTCGACACTCAACGTTTAATTTTGAGAACTACGAACACGCTGTTTCTTCCAATTTAGATCTGACAATTTTTGGCGATTCAAAAACCTTACATTCAACGTTCAATTTTCAAAGCTACGAGCTATAAATTCGCTTGGCTGTTTCTTCCATTTAGAATTTGACGATTTTTGGAAATTCAATTCAAACTTTCTCTCGAAACGTTGATCCTACATTCTCAATGATAAGCTGCAAAATTTCATGGTTTTTCTTCCATTTGCATCTGACGATTTTTGAAAATTCCAAGGAACCATGCTTGCAACTGAATTACGGATTTTTACATTTCAAGCTCGTACTTCCGAGAACATCGGACCGAAAGAACGAAAGCTTCGTCTTCAACTGGATTACCTCACATTTTGGAACGTTGGCCATTGACACTGTTAATAACCGATCCGTCCGTATATCTTCTTCGCCGCTCCGCAAGAATAACCGGATTTTCCGCGCGGGCTTTCCGGAATCCGCGTCCGGCACGAATCCCAGACCAGGAGCCACGTCGAAATTAATCTATGAAATCCCGACTAATTCACCGGACGCTTTCTGTTCCCGGTATTTGGACTTCCGGCCGAGTTTCCCACTCGCAGAGAACTTGCTTCAGCAAAAGAGAGAGAGAGAGAGAGGAAAAAAAAGAGAACTAAGTCCAAGTCTCAGCTCTAACCAGGATCCGAGCGGTTCCACGCTGTCCATTCGAGTCGTTCGACTGATTAAATTTTCCATTGTCTCGACGAGAAAGAAACACGGCTCGTTCGTTCAATCTTTCGATCGTCCTTTCAAGATCCGCTCCGTATTTTCAAGGCTGGAGGCCTTTCTTCCTCGAGATTCGCTCGCCGTTCCCAATTGTTTTCACGTTTTGCCTCGGGACGAGTGTCCGACGCGGAAAGAATATCAACCAAATTCCTGCAGTTCCCTTCCATAATCCCAATTCCGTCAGAAGAAACAGAGAAACCGATGGCACAAATTGATCGAGAAGAAACGTCGCGTGAATGCAACGTTGGTCCATGGTAAATGAACAACTAAACAAACATGCAACACGGAATTTAAACCCACGTGGCTTATAATGAAGAGTTAATTTGGTTTACGATAAAGAGTTTATTATTATATAAGATCGTGTAGTGTTAAAATATTATATAAGAGTAACAAACGCGGTTCATAATAAAGAGTTAATTTTGGGAAATTAGAAGAAAGACGGTGACAAAGAGCCATAATTCCCTATATCTCTCTCAAGATCTGCATGACATGACGATAGTATCTCTCTAGATTTACACGCTATTACGACTCGATACTCTCTATCCAAAATTTTATTCTCAAACCTCTGTCTTTACAAACACACGCATAACAACTATACTTTACATATTTTACGTCAGAGCTGGCTAACTGATGGCGCGCGAGCCCTTGCCCCTACTTTCCTGATTGCTATCCCCTCCACTGTATTGATCACCCCACTCTCCTACTGATTCAGTGGAGGGGATACCGCTAGCGACTAGAAAAGTAGGGGCACGTAGGTCGCCAGTTAGCCACCTTTGCTTTAAACGAGAAGTCACATATTAGAGAAATCATGCCAAATACCATGGTTAAACAGGATGTTTAAACAATCACACGAGACACTCAGTAGACGACAATTGTCTCGCTCTTAGACAGAAGAAAAAAAATCCGGAAACTTCCTCACCTCCTCTCTACGCAAATACGTGCTCGCGTAATTGAATAACAAATCGATATAATAATTTTTGCGCTGAAAAAGGAAAAAAACAGAAAGAAAGAAAGATGGAAAGGAGCTACGAGCTATTCGAAGGCTAAAAGCTTTCCTCTGTGACACTGGTCCCTGGCCCAGGCGTAATTGATACATCAGATTCGAGATGCTTTCAATCGCGCCGGGTGTCCCAAGATGAAGTAGCCCGCCCGTCTGATCTCGAGCGTTAATTACGTTTCGCCTTGGCGGGAAGGACGTCGTCGTCGTCGTCGTTCCATCTTGCGCGAAGATCAGAGAGAGGCTAGAGCCAGAAGCGACCAGCCGAGTTGTCGTATTTACATCGGACCAATGAACCTCTCTGGGATTCTCATCGGAAGAGGAGAACGCTGTGAAACGTCCTTTGATGCCCGCCTGATTCCATTTCTAGAGAAGATATGTAGTAAGGACGGCCTCGATTCGCCGAGCATGGAGCATCCGGTATATCAAAAAGACGTGGAATTTCTTCCGCTTTGAATTGCTGTTTTATTTCTTCTTTAGAACAAAAAGGGAAGAAAGCTACAGCTTGCATGAACAATACAATGCGGTTTAGGTTAACAGGGTATTAAATATTGTTCCAATTGTATTAAATGTTGTTCCAATTGTTTCCAGTTTCTGACTTTATTCGTGACAGCTGCCAGTAATAAGAGGTCGTTTGCTTCGATCGTTTCATTTTCATCAACACCTTGGCAACATTCGCAGAATTTCGAATTACGCACACTCAGTTTTAATTTAGCAGCTGTTTTCAATCGCTAGTCAGCTAAATCATGAGCAGCTTGTAAAACTGAAACAGCTGCGTCATGTGTACTTGGCCTCCGAATTGAAAAATTGGTCGTCCCAACTGCTCCGCTAATTCCGGCGATTCCGAAAATTTTCGTCGAAGACACTGCACCGACGAGGGACAAACGGGGCAATAAAACGTGTACGTATTTAGATGGAACGATATCTCGGCGAGATTCTCGCCGAGGGGAGGGAGAGGGGGGGGGGGAGAATGCTTTTGTGCAAGCAGCAATACGTTCACCCTTGCCACTGACAGATATGAATGGTCCCGGCATTGTAAAAGCCGGCAGAATTTCACTTGCTCTCGCGGTCTACGTTCTCTCTCTCTCTCTCTCTTTCTCTCTCTCTCTCTCCCTCCCCTCTCCTCTTTTTTAATCCCGTTATCTGGCACCGGCCAAAGAATATTTTCGTTATCAAAAAAACCGTGATTTCGGCCTTTATCTGGCCGAAACGACGCGATACATCGTCCGTGTCTAAATCGATCAGCGCGCGCGGTTTTTACGCGCGATTAAAAAAGATGGAACGTTTTTTTCTTTTTTCTCTAACGATCGTTCAGAGGCTCACGACCCCCGGCAATCGATTCATGTCTCTCTCGCCAGGGTGGAAACGTTGTATCGTTTTAGGAAATGATTTCGCGAGTGATTTCTCCATTGTTTCAAACACCCTCGCTGCTTGTCGCTAATGGCGACGCAGCGGTGGATGCTTTCGAATGGATAAATAAATGGAATTCAAGGCGAGAAAGCGTCATCCTTTGTCGGATCGTGAAATGTCTTTGAAAATTTGACGAAAAAGGACATTCTGACTCGTACTGGTGCCTTGATATTTCGATCGATATGTAGACACTTGTGCAAATTTGTGATTCTTGTTAACTTAGAAGGTAATATAAGATAATAGAATATAACTATAAAATAAGATAATTTTCAATATAAGACAATTTAAGACAATTTAGAAGCTAATTTTGAAAATAAAGAAAGAGCAGAGAATCGTTTTACACATCAATGAGAAATTGTAAAAATTTGCAGTGCATTCAGAGTAGTTTAGAGCAAAAGTGGCTAACTGGCGGCCGCCACATGCCCCCACTTTTCTGATCGCTAGCGCTACCCCCTCCACTGAAACTTCCTCATCCTGCACGAGCTCCACTCTCAATCTGGAGAGATCGATGCAGTGGAAGGGGCAAGAAAAGTGGGGGGCAGGTAAATCGACTTTGGTTCAGAGACTGATGTTTCTACGTTCGAAGATGCAAATATGGAAATGTACGAAATACAATGCTTCGCGAAACAGACCATTAACAATTATAACACAGCTAAATGCACAGAACACACCGCGAAAGTATATCACGACTATCGCGAAGATAATCTAAGATAGCAAAGGCTGAAACGAAGCGGCAGAGGCCCGAAAAGAGGAGGAGGAATTGCGACGCGCATTTCCTCCCAGAGAAGAAAACGACCGGTCGAGGGAAATTGTCGAGTCACGTGGAAGAAAATTATGGTCGGCAAAGTAGCTACTTATTACGCGGTTCGGTGCGTTCGAGCGCCTGTGATTACCTCGTCGACGGTGTCGTTGCAAGTACGCTCCTCGTCGCTTCTAATTATCTAGTTAACCGTGCCTACGGCTCGGGTTTCCGCGCGCGAAACGCGACTTTCCGCGTTCTTCCAGCGCCTGCGGGAAAATATTTGCGAAATCTTCAGCGTGAAAGTGAAAACAGAGATGTTTGTTCGCTCGGGTATTACACATTGAAACAAAAGCTAAACAGCAGAGCGTTTGTAAAAAAATTTTTCCAGTTTACGCGCAGACGGTTTGTGAGTGTTGATTTTTACACGGGTGGAAGATGTTTGATTCATCATTTTGTTAAAATTCACATTTCTTTTATTAAGGGGGTATTCTAGTGTGAAGTGCGTATTTTCTTTAACTTTATTAGGGAATTTTTTTTATACCTCTTTTGGTTAAATTGACAAGGCTTATTTGTACGTGTTTCAACGACGTTTTAAAATTTTTTGGGACAAAGAAAGTTAAAATTAGTGGCACTGCATACTCTCAAGCATAGTCGCTTTTAAAAAAAGGTCGTCTCATGGTGTCCATGATTCCGGACATTCTGCTTGTCGGAAATAAAAAAACGTGAATGTTCCTTAATTAGTATGAGTTTTGGTTATAGCAGCTACCAAAACAAAAAAAAAAAGTCGATAATTTAAAAAGTAGCGATACTTTGAAGTTCGATTATCGATTTTTGCATGTTTCTGTTAAACTTTGGATATCTAAAAAAATATAAAAAATAAAATTTTTTGGTTGATTCTGGTAGGGGCTATAGTCACACGTATACTTAAAATTTTGAGTCAATTGGTCAAGTAGATTTTGAGATATCATGGACATGTCGTTATGAGAAACATCGTTTCCAGAAAAATGCCTTTAAAATTTACTATTGCTGCGTTCTTCAAACAATCATAACTTTGTCAATTTTAGGAGATTTATTTTTGAAACCGCATCCTTTAAGAATGTGCAGAAAAAAATCGATTTTTTCAAAAGTTCACACTAGAATACCTCCTTAAATGTTTAAACTTTAAATTTAATTTCTAACTACGAAGATTCGAACAAGACGTACAAATAAAATCCTGCATCGCTAGGTACACATGTTCTAATAAAACCGTTTAAATAAAACACTCTGTGTGTAATAATTTCAAGTAACGTTCAACTTCTGAAAGGAAAGCGAAGGAAAATCCAGAGCTTCGTGTCGGATGGGCGTAAAAGTGTAAAGCACAATTTCAACAAGATTTTACGCGAGATTCCTGGCCGAGTTAACGATCGAGCGACGAGCATGTCGCGATTAGTATAAAAATTACGAACCGTCGCGTTCACAAATCGTACAACATTGTCGCGTGCGCTCGCAGCTGCGTGCGAGATCCACATTCTACACGCGCATAAATTCCCGTGTGCTGAAACAAGAGGATCAACGGATCGATAACCTGCTTCGCGATTTGTAAGGAAATTAGGAGACTGTCATACCATGCGAACGAGCATTCGTTCGAACATTGTAGTAGGTTAGAAATGTGAAATAGTTGAGTTCTCGGATAGCATTCGTGCGAACATGAAATGAAATTAATTTTCACCTGACTCTTATCTTCCTCTTAAATTACAATATCTCGAATGATTGCCGTGCTAACGCTATGGAAATGAGAAGTAACTTTGAAACAGTCGAGGGGAATTTTTTCCAGCGTGTAAAATCGCACGAGATATTAGGCTAGAGTTATTCGAAAACGTGGAAACAAACGTAGTGAAGAAGGTAAAATGAAGAATGAAAATAACGACAGATATCATCGCATATGTTAATACTTTTAGTATTAGTTTAAGACTAGATAGTAGTGTTAGATAGACTAGATATTGGTTTAGATTTAGATCCAATTTCGTGTGACATCTTACCGTATCGATTTAGGTTCTGCACCGTAGCACTATTAATTTAATTGAAATTAAATGCTACATCTGCATCCAAAATTACTCGGTAAATTGAACGTGAACGCTTTCTTACTTAATTTCTGACTACGATGTAAATTATTTTTTACATGAATCAGCATTATGTGTAAAAAAAGATTTATAAATACATCGACCAAATTTTAGAAGTGAATTTAAATGTAAATGTTCACATTAGACAAATTCGAAAAATTCTGTTTGAAGTTGCAGAACGGAGTTTTTGTTTAAAAAAAAAGGAGCCAAGCAAAGTCAGAAGTTCTCGTGGCGAGAGCTAGTAATTAATATCGTTTTCCAAACTGTAATTTTTTGCAAAACGATATCAAATAAAGAACCACGCAATTTACAGTCCAGTTTCTTCACTTCCCGGAGGTTTCCCGGTTTTCTAGATTGTAGAAACAATTAGTCGACAAGTGAACTTTTTTTCCCGCGCGGCGCTCGCACTTCCGAAATATGGTTCGTCCGCTTTCCAATATTATTCCAAAGGGAAACGTTGTTTCGATAGAGCCGCACGCTGCTCGGAATGCTTTCAAGGTTTCAACGCTATTAAAAATGGTCGTTGAACTCGTTGGCACGTGTACTCGTGCCGGAAACTAACCGTGGAAACAACCTGACCTAAACCTAATCTACAATGTGCTCCATTTCGACGATTGAGATCAAAGTGAGTTCAAAGTTCGAATTCATGAATATTCATACGATCTATTAACGCTGCGACTACACGAGCTAACAAAGCATAATACGAGAGAAGTGAATACGAGAAAAGAAACAAACAAATAAACTTCTACTTGTACGAATTTCCGTGAAAATATCACCGACGAAAATTTTCGTAGCAAAAGTCACATTGTTTCAAGCTGACTGCAGAGAGGAAATAAAATAGAGGAACTATCGTAATACGTCCAACGAGAGTTGTTTCTTTCTTTTTTCTTCTCTGACGAAAGAAAATAAAAACTGCAAGTGTTTCTTTGAGCTGACAAGAAGAAAAACGACAGCCGACGTGTCTGCCAAAAAAAAAAAAAAGAAAAAAAAGAGAGTACAAAGGGGAACAGTAGCTATGAAATTCGTGGAAAGTGATGGCAGCTTTAAGAACAAATATCTCCGGCATGGTATTTATCCTCAAGATGAAAGAAGCATTTGAATAAAGCCACGAGAGAGAGAGAGAGAGAAATTCTCTGCTGATTCTGGCCTGCGACCGTCAGTGAGGCAAAGCCTTTTGTTGATCCGCAGGTTTTATACGGCAGCCTCAGGCTCGATACAAATTAAACCGCATACCGATATCCTCCCCGGCGCCCCGCGAAATGCATATTCGCGTCTCGTTCCGTGTTTCGACACCAGCACCGCCGCCTGGGATTGAAATATTTGGAAAGAGAATGGAGAGAACGCGGTTCCGTACCCACTAAACTTACATAGCGATTACACGATTAACCTCGCTCGAGCAAGTGCTTGAATGTTTGCACGCGTTCTCTGCTTGCCGTAATAAAATTATTTGAACATTCCGAGGGCGATACTGGCGCGATTTTAACGATGATATTTGAAAATTAGGAGCGCACAAACCGTGAAACTCTCGCGCAATAAAGAAGCTACAACGCATCGAGCAATCTCTTTAATTTATCACCGAGTGTACAAATAACAATAAAATAAAAGCGAACGGCGGATTTTCCATATGCAAATCCACATTTTTGAGAAAGGTGTTCAATTCCGCAGTTTAAATGCAAAATGCAAACGCTTAACAAAAAAAAAAAAAAAAAAAAAACAAAAGAAACGAACGATTAACAAAAAAAAAAAATTCTTGTCAAACGAAAAGCGATAGATTCGCATTACAAAATGCTTTACGTCTTTTTCGTGCATGAAATCTACGTGCACAAAGAGCTCTTTGAAAGCGGCTCTCGATGCTGGAGTGGCGAGCGGTTTTTTCTTTTCCTTTCCTCTTCCTCCGAAACGCGCTTCGATCTCTTACGTGCCACGACAAATGACCACAAAACCGGCTTTAAGCGGCTCGCGAGCTTCGATCCCGCCGTCTCGATAGATCGTTCGTACGTTGGAGAGACGGCGATACGTAGCCCGGTCAACAAGGCGAAATCGCGAACCAAGGGAAAGCGATATTACAGCGCGAAGCACATTACGGAATGCATAAACGTCAGTTCGGCTCTCATAAATTCGTTTCTTGCCCGACGTCGTGCTGCGCGGCGAATTTGCACCGAGAAACACGGGAGAATGAGAAAAGGGGGAGAAAAAGATTGAAATTACGTGACGAATTTCGTACGGCGCTACGTAACTTTCGATCGGAAGCAGATATCAAGAATGTTTAATTAATGAGAAGACTGAGCGATGTGATAAACCGACAAGTGTTTGCAAAGAGTCGAAGATAAATAGACCGTGGATTTTTGTGCAAACTCATACTTTTGAGAGTCAGCGGTTGAGAAAACAGAAATTGATAAATTCTACCGATGAATAGATATTTGCAAATTTACGAAGAGCTGCTAAAGAAGCGGCAAATTCGACAATCCCTTACGACAACACAAACCTACCGCTCGATTCTCTACTTGTCCATTGTCAAGCAAAAAAACCAAACACCATTGGAACAACGAATGGAAAACCACGACTGCTAACCATCAAAAATAACTTCTACAAGAACGTAATACCACCTGCTCTAAAAAGTCGTAATATCAAGAATCAATAATCGGACATACGAAAGTAACACACAGACACATACTCACCAAAGAAGACCAACCACTCTGCGAACGGTGCAAGACGACCCTAACAATAGACCACCTCATACTACAGTATAGCGAAGTATACCTGCTGCTAAGAAAACAACTCAGAGTCAAGACCCACCCTAAAAGACAACCTGATGGACAGTGAGCCTGCTACAATATTTGAAACACACCAAGATCTACAACAACATCCCTCCTCCTAATGTCGCTAATAAACCATGAAGATAACGAGACATAAAATAATTGATTAAAAAAAAAAAAAGAAATGTTCTCCAAAGTAGAAGGGACGTTAAAAATACATAAATAAACACTGTCACTGAAAATTCACACTGACAAAGTAAAGAAGGATTGACAAACTTGTCGAAACGTCCCAGAAATGGGGATCGGTACGATAACGATCGAAGATGAAGGATCCAGAGAGGAAACGAATCAGTTAGCGACACGCGAACGCGAGGGAGTCTAACGTTGTCGCGATTAAAGCAAATTGCAAAAAGGGATCGCGCGCGATCTAGCCGCCGTTTATCGCGCTAATGGAAATTAGAGAGATTATGAAAACACGCGGCCAACGCCTTAAATATGTCCCGGTGGCTGGCAGTTTGGGGGAAAATTTGTGCCTCCTCTTTAACGACCGTGTCACCAACACGCGTGCACGCGTATATATCTGACCGTCTTAAGGCACAACCACAAAATTTATCACCACTAAACACGACATCCCCGAAAACCCGTCCTCCTGCCGTTCTCTGCTCGTGAAATTGCGCGCGTGAATCCCACGATACGTATATCGTCTGAGATCTGCCCGACGTGAGTGCACGTGAGTTGAAACAGGCAACGAAAGTGTATTAAACGTCGCTTCGAGATTAATCAATGACAAATGAAAATTATCGATTCACAACTGTCTCTGAGTAATTTTAATTCTCGTCAAAACGTATCTCCCCCCCCCCCCCATTTCAATTTCTCCGACTTTCATGTTTCTTTAGTTAAAGTGACAGGAATTTAGAATTGTTCTACAGTCAGTGTGAAATAGTACACAGCATCTAGCAAGTCACGGCGTGAACCAAGACCAAATTCGTCAACGTTGGATCGTTAGAAAGAATTATAAATTCGAGAAGGGGAAGTAATTTTACGTAGTACTGGTAAGGTGATGACTTCTAAAATGGACTGAGAACCAGCAGCAGGAGAACTCGCAATTTGATGTTGATATACATACGTATATATACACGGGTCCTATTGTGAATAATACCTTAGATAGTTCAGTCCATTTCATCTCCACTGCTTTATCACTAAATATTGCCTGACTTACGCCACCGGGAACTGTTCAACGGACCGCCGGGCCTTGGGTACCTCGCAACGATTTCATTGTTCACGATTCTGTTCATTCTGCGTTCATCGGCATTTACGGCGCCGCGCAGCGCCGTCGTTATACGAGACAGGCCACATTTGTCATCCCCGAGGAAATAGTTGATTCAACGTTTCTAATTAAATGCCCCGGCAATAAGTATATTCAGCGGGGGTTATAATTTATCGATGTTGATAATTTATCCGTCCGCCAACTTTCGGCCGGAACCGGCGAGCGGTGTTGTTCGCTTCGCGTGTTCGTCTCAGCAACGAATTTCACAATGGATTCTTCAAGTCCATTTCGAAGTGTATCATCAACAGAAATTGAAATTGACGTTTGCGTTCTTTCAAAAATTTCTTAATTCTCCGTAAGTCCCTTAAGATTCCCTGAAGATTCCAATTCCCTAAATCTCTGGAGTTTCCTGCACTTTTTAATTTTCTGAGAAACTAATTGCCTGAAAATTTTCAATTTTTTCCGACTTCCCTAAAATTCTAATTCCATAAGTTGCTGCATTTTCTGTACTTTACATTCTCTGAGCCTTTAATTCCCTGAACTTCCTCCGAGTTTCTTGGAATTCTGATTTTTTTAAATTGCTGACTTCAAGTTACTTTTAATTCTCCAAGCTTCTAATTTTCTAAATCTTCAATTCCCTGATTTTCTTAAAATTCCAATTCTCTGAATCTCTCATTTCCTGTATTTTTAATTCTCCAAAGTTCTCTAAGCTCCTGTTTCCCTAAATTTTCTGATTTCCATTAAATTCCAATTTTCTACATTTCTCGTTTCTTGCATTTTTAATTCTCTAAAGTTCTCTAAAAAAAACTTTACTTCCCTATAATTTCTAGAGTTTCTTAAGATTTCAATTTTCTGTACAGATTTATAATTTCCTGCACTTTTAATTCTCTAAGCTCCCAATTCCCACGATTTCCAGTGCCCCGATTTTCCTAAAATTCTAATTCCTTAAGTTTCTATTTTCCTGTACTTATATTTTTCTGAGCCTCTAATTTCCTAAATTTCGAATTTTCCAAGTACATAAATTCTCTGCTATTAACAATTACACTTTTCCTTTAATTTCTCTCTCTCTCTCTCTCTCTTTTTCTCTACATTATATACACTTAGCAATAATATAATTTCCTGCAGCTTACACTCCCAAAAAGATTTCGAGAAATCTCTCACTCGCAACCCTTCAAATTTGAAAGGGAACGCAGAACAAGAACTCGTTGCCTCGATATTAGCAGTTCCTCCCTGATCCCTTCTGTTTCGCGAAAATAACCACGGACAGTACACTTTCCGTCGGGATGACGAAGGGGAAGGGAGGGGAAGATTTGCAGAGTCGTAGCGCCGAGCGGGATTTTATAGAAAATGTTTCTGTTTTTCTGACCAGGGGGATGTGACGCGAAAGGAAGGACGTGAGGGAGGAAATCCGTGAACGGCGACCCGCGGACGGGAAACTTCCACGGCGGTTCCGCGAGTGGCGGGGCCGGGATTGGCGAAAACAAAATCTCGAATACGAAAGTCGAAAGGTAAACTTCTTCCCCGGTGGAAATGTTATGTCCGCCCGTGGGCGAAGACAAGTAAATTCAATCCGAGACGTCGCGTCACTCTGCCTTTTTCGCGGAAGACGGACAGAAATCGTCCTTTTCTCTTCTTTTCTTTCTTACAGAACAGATAGACGGGAGGAAGAAAGGGATTTGCCGAGCCGCTGATTAGCCCACGATAATTATTATCGATATAGTAATTTGTTAATTTTTAATTTTGAACAACAAAAACATTACACTTTTGTGATATTTTGAAGTTTCTTGATGCCTTTCATATATATATAAATATATATAAAATTTTAAATTAATATAATTAAATTAAGTTGTATAATGAAAATATATTTTTACCGAACAATAACAAATTACACTTTTGTGATATTTTGAAGTTTCTTGATGCCTTTCATATGTATAAAAATATATATAAAATTTTAAATTAATATAATTAAATAAAGCTGTATAATAAAAATATATTTTAGTAATAATTAAAAATTAATAATGTTATTAGTAGTTTAAAGTAATGAAAATGAATTTTTTTTAAAATAAATAGATAAAATTTATTTTGTACCTTTAATATCAGGGTTAATTAATTTATTTTAATAATTTTAATTATCTCGAAAGTAAATGATCTAAATATATATATATATTTGTAAAATAAAAGAAATAAATATATATTTAGAAATTAAACGTTTATCGTATTTATTAATATCTAGCTTTTTAAATAAATTTAATTCAATATACAATAATAATTAATAAAATAATATCACTTATTATCAGTTCAAATATCACTATACAATATATATACATTTGTAAAATAAAAGAAATAAATATATATTTAGAAATTAAATGTTTGTCGTATTTATTAACATCCAGTCCTTTTAAATTTTAAATTTAATTCATATATAATAATAACTAATTATAATATTACTTATTGTCAGTTCAAATATCACTATATAATATATATATACATTTGTAAAGTAAAATAAATAAATATATATTTAGAAATTAAATATATTTGTCGTATTTATTAGTATCTAGCTTTTTAAATAAATTTAATTTAATATATAATAATAATTAATCAATTATTATTAAATATTATTCATTATCAGTTCAAATATCACTGTCGCTATCGATTTTTATTTCTCTCTGCTTATATTTATGGAAAATTTCTTCGATGGAAGATTAATCGAGTTCCAAATAAAAGGCAAAGGGCGTTAATGTGTTCGTTAATGTGTTTTTCGGGGGGGGGGGGGGGGGGCCGATTGCGATTTGTTGAAGGCTCGAGTGCTCGGAGAGGTCGGTCGCTCGGTTAAAAGGATCTCGCCACCCACCCCCGAACAACAACGACGACGACGGTTATCGCTTATGAGTGATAGACCTTTCCATTTAATGCAATGCAAATCCGGGATATTTCGCAGGAAAAAGTTTCGATGCAATAGCGCCATAAATCAGCGCCGGCCCGGGCTGACTTGGGAGATTCAATTTACCGACGGTCGACGGTGGCACCGGTTTCTCCAGTTAATTAATCTTCATAATCCCATGATCGGGAGGGGGCCAACGTCTTGAGATATACATTTCTTCCGCTATTTTTCAATGTAACGGCGACACAGGTATCGATTTGCTTTCCCTGTCTGTCCTCCTCTCGCCGTGCGACTCCAAGTTTAAAGAGAGTCGATCGTACGTATGTACCTTACGCTCGTGTACGCCGGCACTGGTATCGCCAGAACGATTTCTAAAACGGAATCTAAAACGGCCATCTTCTTGATTCTTTTGTAACGATGGCGAGACTTCTCAGAGACTTGAACTTCTCTCGGGAAATATATAAGTAAGAGCTCTTTCTGCAAGTTCTCTTTTTGCATTTCAATTCTTCTGACACGAGCTTTGTGCTTTCGTTGTGCGTTTATATTTTCGGACGATTCTTGAAAACTGTCAATTTTAGTACGAGCGAGCGTTCTATTTTCGAACTCCGTAGTGAGCACATAGTATTTTTCAATACACGTATTATATATTTTATAATATTATATATTATACTTATAATATAAAATATTATATTATAATATTATATATTATATAAAATATTATATTATAATATTACATATTACATTTATAATATAAAATATTATATATTATATTTATAATGCAAAATATATATTATATAAAATATTATATGTTATATTACGAAGAATAAAAGGCTTCTATACATTCAAAAATAAAAATCGCGACAACGTAACTCTTTCATCGAGAATTTTCCTTCCAATCGATCCTATTGAATTCACACTCGACGAATCCACTTCTGTATCTCGAAACGATACGAAAATGATTTGAAGAGAGTCCGTACTTTGGTAAATACGCGTGTACATTTACGGAGAAATGAAAAGAAAGGAAGAGGGACAAATTGTAAAGAGAAACGACACTCGATACTCTGCGAGTGAATGAGTTGAAAGATTCCAACGTCAACGTCGCGAAACCACATTATCGCGAAATTAGCGATAACAGCGAAATTGAAGGCTGACACGAATCGAAAACAGCGGGAAGAGGATATTACGTCTGCAAACACGCGAAAGCGCGAAGCTATATATTTAACGCGTTTAACGAACATTGGGAGAAGCCAATTACATCGGACGTGTCGATAAAAAAAAAAAATGATCATGTCGATTATCGCGAGCCTCGTGTGTTAAATCGTTCAAAAGGTTGCACGCATACCGTAATGAAAACCGTGAACCCGATAACATTGACGAAAACGTCGATTTTCCCGCCCGAATGTTTCGTAATTCTCCCTGCATAATTTTTTTTCTTTCGTTTCTTTTCATTCCTCCCTTCCTTTTCTTCCTTTCTTTCTTTCCTTTAACGCGAGTCAATTTCGCGCTTCGAACATTCGACCACTATTATTAATTTAATTTTATTAATTCACGGCGTATCCGTCCGTCGAAGAGGGAAAATGATTGGAAATTGATTTCGCCGGTTTCTGCACATTCTTCTGAAATTAGCCGCGGCGCGTTGAAAAATTATTAACGAGCGGCAACAAAACGGACGAATTAATATTAATACCGGGGCGACGGGAATTCTGTTTAATAATTCATGATATCTGGCCGGCAATAAAGAATAGTGTTTAATAATTCAAGGTATCCTCGCCGGGCTCTGTAAACATTTGTAAATATCGGGGCAAACAATCGCGTGCCGCGTGCTCGCCGCTGGAAATTAAATAAAATCGAAAATACGATACGAATGAGCGAGAATTTATAACGCGGCAAATATTCGAATAAATTACGCGCGATAATTTTTTATATATCGCCGATATACGTTACACGCCCTGCTGCGAAAAATTAATTCGAACGTAATTTAATTAAATTCCACGCGACGGCGGCCTGCGCGAGGAAAAAAGAAAGGAAAAGAAGAGAAATTCGAATCGTTTGGAAAATTTGCTTTTTTTTTTTGCTCTTTTTTTTTAATATCACGTTATATCGTAGTTACATCGTAGGTGTCGCGAGGGTGGAAAAAATTTTTATCGCAGATATTTTCGCTGGAAACAACGTGCGAAGTATTTGACCGTTGATCTCTGTGAACCTCTCTCGTTATTGAAATGGCGCGAGAAAAATAACTTTCCACGGAAACGCGCGGATTTCACGCCGTTTTACTGTTATTTATTAATTGCGGAAATTCAATTCAAACCGGGCACGACTTCGTTGGGAAATTTAATTCGAAACTTAAACGAAGCTAGAACTACCGATTAAAGCGTGAAATTTCAGTGTCAGGGACACTGAAGTCAAACAGACGAAGAAACTTTACAACGCACTGTATCAAGCTATTTTTATTTATATGTTTATGCACTATAAGCTTTTATTTGTATGTTTTACGAAGAATTATTTAAATCTTTGAAAACACGCTGTTTTCGCGTCTGTAAAATTTCTGAAAAAAAATCATCAATTGGCCATTTTGACCATTTACATAATTCCAGTGTCAAAGTAATGTAAAAGAAAAAAATTCGTAACTGACGTAGAACGTCAATCGTGTCAATCTCTATCTCTTATTTATTACAGAAACCAGACAGTAAGAAATAAGAATAAAATAAAAATTGGAAGAAATCGCTCTTTCGAAAATGTTCAAGTCAATCGAAATTGCCCTAATCGTCCCAAACGAGTAGAGACGGATTCTCAATAAACTCGACATCATCGTTCGTTTCTCCGTTATTTGTTTATTCGTTCGTCGATTGTCGTTGAAACGAAAAAGGGGGCGCGCCGTCGCGTTTCACCGCGATGAACTGTTGCAGTTTTATCGGTTATCTGAACCGGCATCGTTTCCCCTTCTTTCTTTCCCCCCAGCTAAGTTCTCCTTCAGCCACCTGCTTGAATAAGGAACAGATCTTAAGCAGAAATTACCGTATCAACTCTCGAGTTCTCTCTCGAGTAGCTCTTTCGGTCTCAGATTCTATTTCGAGAAGACCGTTCGATCGTTTGGTTATATTTTTAACGTCGAGCACACTTCGTCACATCGATGCAAGTAGGTACGTAATTATTCAAATATCTCAAATATCTTCTATAATATCCTTCCGACGAGTATAATCGTTCAGTGTTTATTTCACAATTCGTCGTTTCGCGTAATGACGATTACGAGGATTCGTCGGTGGTGTGAAATTTTCGAAAGACTAAATCAATCGACTAAAATTTGTGCACGTTTCTCACACTGGTCTCTACCGACGACCAATATTCGCAGCAAGGAAATTAAAGCGCAAGAAAAAGTTAATAATACAGCAAAGAGCACCAGCTTCGAGTATTAATATACTTTATTAAAAATCAGTTATCGAGTATCGAATAATAATACACTTTTGTATTATAAATATATAAAATTCCCATAGAGGGTTATAAATTATATAAGGCAGGGGTGGTTAAATACGTAGGAGTGGGAACGTATTTTTAGAATCAATAACATATGAAAGTCGGTGGAGAAAGTGTGTTTCAAATTCTCCCTATAACGGCGGTCTCAGTTTCCCGGATTACAGGAAAAAGGGGGAAAGTAAAAGTACGAAAGAAACGCAAATGGACTCGCGTGAAAAATAAATTGAACTCCGCTCCCTCGGCAATCGAATTTCCACCGCGCAATACCTTACATAGACTTTAAATATTCCTAACATTTTATTTTTCTATCGATACTTACTCTGCCTTCCACTCCTATATACAGGGTGTTTCGTAACTTGTGGGACCCACTTTGGGAGCTAATTGTACAGCTAACAACAATTAAAAATCATATAAATATAAGTCCTGTCTTCGTTTATGAGATATAATGAATTTTATAAACAGAGCAAACTCTAGTAAGCTAGTTTTACCAGGGATGGTACATTCAATTTTCATAATAATCATAATTGGGATGAAGAAAACCCACATGTTATTGTGCATTCGAGACATCAACACCAGTTTAGTTTAAACATATGGGCAGGGATAATTGATAAATTTTTAATTGGACCTTTTTTTCTTGATGGGAAACTAACAGGCACAAAGTGCGTTGATTTTTTTGAGCATGCGTTTACACGAAATATTAGAGGAAGTTCCAAGTCGATATTATACTTCGTAAGCGGTTTATGCATGATGGAGCTCCGCCGCATTTTAGCCGAGTGGCTAGGCAATTTTTCAATCAACACTTTGCAAATAAATGNACGCGTGCAGGCTTGTCTTCAAATGCAAGCTGGTCATTTCGAGCATCTTTTGTAAAAGTAATTAAAACAGAAAATTCATTATATCTCATAAACGAATATAGGACATATATTTATATGACTTTTTTCCATTATTTTTAGACGTACAATCAGCTCCCGAAGTGGGTCCCACAAGTTACGAAACACCCTGTATATACATAGCAGAGTGTATACTTCACTTTTCCTCAATTTCAGAAATTTCATAAATCAATATTACGGCGAAGTTACCCCATAACTTTGCTCGAACGAAGTACCGAGACTCTCTCTCTCTCGTTTCAAAAGCTGTACTTGTTAATTTACGAACGCGGAAGAAATTTTGCAGCGAGTCGTATCGTTGTAAGACGACTCATATCTCGAAAGAATTGATTGATTAATTAGACGCGTCAGACTTGAAACAGAAGAGAAAGCGGAGTACTGCAAGTGCATATGTATGATCCACCACACACCGCACGCATCTGCGTGTATTTACAGCCTATTAGGCGTAATGGCAGGCTTTGTGGGAATTTACTCCCCCGGAATTAATCAATGCGAAATCTGATATTGCCCCTTGAATTGCAAACAGGGACGAGGCGCTGTTCGAACCGCGGGTTTCCCGAATTTTCCCCATGACGTTAAATTTCGTTAATACCCGGTGCTCTCTGGGGGCTCGGTAACGACTTTACGACGATGCATCGACGATCTAATCTTCCCAAAAGTTCGCCCGCAACTTATCACGTTCTTCTGAACACGGGGAAATGTGTTGGAGAAAATTTAAAGGATCCCTTGCCATCTCAAGTGAATTTTTAAGTTGCAATTTCGACGAATTCGAACCTCGTCGTTGCTATCTTTCAGCAAATATTTGACAAACCTTATGGTTTGGACAAACAAATAATACAGTGTTATGGAAACTCGGCAGACGTACGATGTAATAGACCAGACCACTATCCATATTGCATGTCGAAAACTCCTCGAAACTCGAGCGAAAATAAAAACTATTATATTATAAAAGATTTCCACAGAGTTTGCTTGCACCTTTTTCCAAGAATGCAGCGATACCATGTCCACACGAAACGTGTAAATAAAAAAATCCGACAAGTATACCGGCATAATGATCTTATCGGCGAAAGCAAGCAAGCAAGCGAACGAAGTAACTCCTCTCGCGAGTAAAACAAATTCCGTCCCATCCAGAAACAAATCAAACGAAACGAGGGACGTTCGATCGACGACACACACCGGATCCAAGGATCTTCCATCGATCGACTCGAGAGGTCGTATTCCGAAAACATTTCGAGGCCCGCGGGGAGCGTTAATCGATATTCGAGGCAGCGAATTTCACAGAAAGCCAGCCATTACGCCGAATAGGTGGTGGAGGGAGGGGGGGAGAGGAAGGGTTGGGAGGAGGGGTGTAGTAAGTAAACGCGTAGGGTAAAGCGCGCTGGATCATACATATGCACCGTGGCTCCGGGTGTGTGTGTGTGTGTGTGTGTATCCTTCTCTTCGATTCCAGTTAACTTGGATCACGAGCACGGCATCCCGATGCTACCGGTCACCGGTCCCGAGGGTTCGTCCTGCAATTTAAATGACTGCGACACGCAGCAAATGTCTCTCGGGCTCGGCCAACAACACCGGCTTACCCGCAGCTTGGTCTCCGTCGGCTCCGTCGTCTGCCGAATATGTCACACGAACACGTCCAAGGAGCAGCTCATTTCGCCTTGTAGGTAAATGTATCATCGATTAATTGAACGATTCTCGCCCCCCCCCCTTTGCCCCCCTTTGCGTCCTTTTCCCTCTGACCTTTCTATCTCTTTCTTTTTCACTCGCTTTCTTTCACACCGGAGATTTCGAGATCCTACAGAGTTTCGTAGCACACACATACGCACGAACGAAACGACGGGGTTCTTCAGGTTTCAGAACAGAATTTCAATGAGAGCTTTCAGCTTTAAGCTACACCGTTTCACGAAATCGTTTCGGGGTGGGTAGTAGGGGGGGGGGGGGGGGGGGGCTCGATAGCTGTGTAAGGTAGATTTTACGTGATGCGTTCGGAGATTAGAGTGGCTGCGATGACGTATGAAACCGTGTGGGTGGTTGCCCCGATCTGGAGAACCCGGCCGATCGATGAAATTTGTTCTTATGCGGAGATGTTTAATCTTTCTCGAGTGTATCGAGCTCTCTCTCTCGGCGTTGCCGCAAACGTTTCGATCGCGAGTTCCCAAATTTTACGAATACTTCTACATGATCGTTGGAGACTGGATTCTACGAATTACTGGATCATCGAATTCGCTCTATTTTTTTTTTTCGAAAGTTTGTTTCATCTGCTGTGGTTAATGCAAAGCTCTCCAGAAACTTTCTTTCTCGCTCTCCTTTATAGTTGAAGACACAACCTTCCTCCCAAGGAAGAATGTGGCAATGAAACATTTCGAAACGTTTGGAACACGTAAAAATTACTGCCGTTTCCACAAAATAGAAATTTTATTTTATTTTATTTTGGGGGGGGGGGGACATTGGCCTTAGATGAACGATACTACTTCTCAACTAATTCTTTGCGATTTTGTAATTTCATCAAAGAATCTACTAGCCGACAATTTTCATTTCTCGCCACATCTTTTAAGCTAATCTGGCAACTGTGTTATTTATGCGTGTGTACTGTTGCTCGTCAGGCACGGATTTAGTTATAATCGCTCATTTCAAGTTAAATCGACGATTTAGAGGCGGACTAACGATCCCAAACAATGTTTCAACGTTTTCTTTTTTCCCCCTTTCCTTTATGTTTCTTTCTTTTTACTCACAGCGAACTGCTAGTAATGATCATTTCAATCGCTGGTCCAACTTGCAACTGATCGACGATCGTTCAACAATTGAAATGAAGTGTTTTCTGAAATTTGTCAACGAACTCGTCTTTGAAACTTCCGCAATCACATCTTCATAATTTTTTCTACTACGTTAATACTGAATGGCCAAAGCTTTGAAATACTTAATAGTTCTCGCGTGCAAGAAATGAAAACAAGTTTCCAGTTCACGCCAAATCATTTAATTTCTTTATAAATATATAGTCACGACCGATATCAAAGGACGAAGTCGAAAAATTGTACGAACCTACAAAATTTTTACAAACGACTGCTGATTGGTTTTCGAGCATTCTGCCAATTCTTAAGGATATTCTAGTGTAGACTGCTTTTTTTTTTTTAACTCTGTTAGGGAATTTTTTGCAAAGAAACTATACTTATACTTTTTGCAGTCAAATTGGCAAGGTTTATTTGTACGTATTTCAAAATTTTTTTCGGATACAAAAAGTTAAAATTAGTGCATATTCTCAAACATAGTCGCTTTTAAAAAAGGTCGTCCATGATTCCGGCCATTCTGCTTGTCGGAAATAAAAAAACGTAAATATTTCTTAATTAATATACGGGTCTGACTATAGCAGATACCAAAACAAAAGAAAAAAGTCGATAATTAAAAAAGTAGCGATACTTTGAAGTTCAATTATCGATTTTTCCATGTTTCTGTTAAACTTTGGATATCTAAAAAAATATAAAAAATAAAATTTTTTGGTTGATTCTGGTAGGGGCTATAGTCACACATGTACTAAACGCGTACTGAAAATTTTGAGTCAATTGGTCAAGTAGATTTTGAGATATCACGGACACCGTTATGAGAAACATCGTTTCCAGAAAAATTCCTTAAAGTTTACTATTGCTAGTCGTCGCGTGCTTCAAACAATCATAACTTCGTCAATTTTAGGAGATTTATTTTTGAAACAATGTCCTTTAAGAATGTGCAAAAGAAAAAATTTTTTTTCAAAAGTTTACACTAGAATAGCCCCTTTTTAATATCTTTCGAGATGCGTATTTACGAAACTTAACAATATATGGGGAATAATCCACGGTAAAAATTTGACAAAATTCAGCACGCTAACATCGACAGTAGAATCGCGTAATCGCGTAAACTTATTAAATCCAGCTTTAAAACGGGGGGGAGGAGAAGGGGGAGGGGGAGAGTCGGGTATTTCTATCCCTCCGCTACTCACACATTTACAATGACCCGGCCAGCGAGGGTAAATAATTTTGCAAGTGAAATTCCTGGCCCGCGAATCCTAATTAATTCTCACGCTGCTCGATTAAGTAATGGTTATCCCGTGTCAACTAATTACGAAATCCTATCAACGTTAGGCGACCGACGTTGTTTGAGATACATAAGTACGCACCGGACCTTTCGAAATTAATTCATTATCCACATACGAGAGAAACGATCGTACGCATGATAGTTGATTATTCGACAGTGACAAAACGACGCGGTGGGAAATAATTTTTTCTTTTTTCCAAGCACGCCCCTAAATTGTAGAAGAATTTTTCCTTTTACTTCGACTCGACGAGAATTATTTTCAGAGAGAAAGTGATCAATTGCTGATTTTCAACATCACTGTTGTTATTTAAATTCCTCGGCCTCCGAAGATTATCGCGCGATGAAAAATGAAAATGGACGCCGGTTACTTACGAAAGGGTAGACCAATCGCCGAAGTTTTAAATATCATTAAACATTATCATCACTGTCTGTTTAAATCTCTTAGAAATCTCAAAAGGATCATCGCGCGACGAAAGTTCGAGTGGATGGCAAATCACTCGAACGCGGTTAAACGCGTAAACAATCGCCAGCCTCGTCCCGACATTTTTCCAATCAAATTTTTCCCAAAGTTAAACGTCAGTCGAGCTTCCTACTTTCGAGGCATTCTTAAATCTATCCTTGCACTGCTCGATCGTGATTTAACCTCCTGCGAAATCGAGCGAAACTTGAAATAGGAAAACGACACGAACACGTCGATGGAATTGTAAGGGTGAAAGGAATGAAAGTTTAATTGGCGGGATCTCTCGTGTAAATAGCAACATAAACTGATCAAGTTCTAACGAATATTACAATGAATATTCACAATTTCAGGAAACAGAGTTCTGATATAATCGGTGGATTACGATTGTAACTACTGTTTGAAATAAGATGAAACATTAGAATTTACGTATGTCGATTTTCTACAAGGGTGGGGAAGAAAGAACGATTCGGGAACTCTAGGACGAGCTTTCAACAAATGAAAGAATTAATAAATATTAATGAACTTTTACGTTAGCGGCTCGCTAATATGGTTTGTTTGTTTGAACGAAAGGCGGGACAGTTGGCAAATACAATGGCTACCGATGGGAATAAATCCCTTCAGAATTATACTCACAAATTTATCGAATGCAACGACGTGCACGCGTCTGCCGATAAAACGTGTACATTTCGCTAACGCGTATTTTCACAAGGCTAAAATAATCACATGCACGCGAATCACGAGCTCGTCGATACGTTAATCGCGTATCTTGAACCACAGCGTTTCTCTCTCTTGTATACGAAATAACGCGAAAAACTGAGGAGTAGGGGGGGATTTTGCTTAACCAGCTGTTAACTCGTGCTAATTGTTAAAAAAAAAAAAAAAAAAGAAGGAGAAACAATCACAGGCATGATCTTTCCAGTTTCGGTTCTCAATCCTTCGCATTAAAGTATCACATAAACGTTCAAAATAATTAATTTGTTGGAGGATTCAGAGAGTATATTTGTAATTTGTTACGTATGCCTGATAAATATTATATTATACTTTCAGGCTCGTTAGATTCTTGACGATTTTAACGAATATCAAAGGTTCACAATGCCACATTTTGGACATCGTGTGCATTTTCATACTCACAAATATACAAATGTCGTGCAAGCATCTAGTAGATATGTAAAAACTCACGTTTACTAGGTGCTGGTGTTGATCCCGGGGTAATAGAAATCGCGAGCAACGATCTGACAACAAAGTGTTGAAATAATAGACGGGCGGCGAGCGATCGCTTTCGACAGGCGGTTAGACGCGACGCCGTGACATGATGCAGCAGCGTTTGCTAAAGTCGGCTGAAGTAGACCGAGTGAAAAGAAATAGGTCGCGCGATACGCGTGTCATTCCGCGAGAATTCCCTCGAGGACCGACCCGGTGAATTAAGTTCCTCGCGACGCGTCGTACAACCCCCCCGAAAAAGAAGAAGAAGAAGAAGAAGAAGGGGTTGCGCAGAGCGTGAAGGAATAAACGTGAATCGAAAGGAGAGAGAGAGAGAGAGAGGAGAGTGAATGGCAGTTTGTTGAAGGAAAACGAGTGAAAAGGGACAAAGCCAGGCAGCAGAAAGGGGAGAAAGGAAGAAAAGAGTGGCGGAGAAGAGAGTGAGATTTTTATTCGCGCATTGAAAACACTGCGGGTGTGCTGACCGAGGCCAGATTAAAATTGTAGAACAGCAAAACGCTGTCGTTCTCGATTCGATTGAGGAGGCTCGGCGAGGGTTTGCAAGGCCGCGGACGAGACAGTTTCGAAGCTTTCGTTCAACGCACCCGTCTCGCCGCCGACGAGTTTCATCGGAACGATTTACAGTTACAGAATGCTCCTTTAAGCGTCCGCAGTTTCGCGAGATATGGTGTATTTTGCGAACCGGCATCGGGAGAAAGATGATGAGCGAGGATGAGTGTCAACTGTTGTGCCGATACTGCGGCGAATTTCCGGAATTGTTTGCTACAATATCTGATTGCAAAGACATTTAACATTTTGACATTTCATTTAAACTGAATGCATTCAAACTGTTTTAAATTTAATGCTTTTTTAAATTTTAACTGAACAGAGGAATAATCATCAAAATGATTGTAATTGATCTAAGTTTCTCGAAAATTT